ATGGTCGATTAGTCAGTTAGTTACTCATTGCTGTATTCTGTTGTATTTTGCCCATTCACAACTATTAAGAGATGTCTAGATTTCGAAATTTAGAATTTATGTTTTTTAATCGTTCACTAGATGTTAAACTAGTTCCAGTGTACTCAGTCCAAAATGCTGATCGAATTTTGATGATCACAATTGAAAAGAGACCGCTAAGCTAAATGACTCAACACAGTGATGTACCATATTAGTTAGATAAAAACAATTAGAAAAACCGTACTGTATCCATGTTCCATGTTTGCTGACAATCATCGGTAAAATGCCTCTACAACCTTAAGAAAATATACACCCCTCATGAATTTAAACTTGTGTCATGCAAAGGCTGCCAATGAGTTATTTAACCAGTGTTGACATGACAAACTAGACTAGTGAAAGAATAGTAAAGTAATCAAGTGATATGAGTGAAACAGGCACGATCTAACCCAAAAATACCCAGTGACCGGCAATTACACTGCTGAATGAAGAGGCAATCCTAGTAGATAATCGCCTTTATTTTTTCCCCAACTACTTATTTTCGCAAGTAAATATTAATTGATAAGTACGGTTGGAATTAAAGAGTAGAAAGTTTATTTAATTTGGATTGCTTGTGTCTATATGTACATATGCCTTACGATATAGTGAGATAAGTCTCACAGTCAGATAGGTACTAAACAATGTATATTTAATTCGTCTGTTGATTCTTGCCTCATCATCTTCTTTGAAAGCCAAAGTAAGGGAGACTGGTTTCTTTTTAAGTGTTACATTTCTCTTTCTTCTCCTTGCTTTTGCGGTACTTCTGTACGAATTTCATGTGATATCCATTGTTGCGTAGACACCATCCAGTTAGCTTAAGTTCCTCTTCCAGTTTTTCTTGGGAGCACAATCTGTTTGCCCTCTGATATAACGCCATCACTAAACCTCTCTTGTGGCTGATTGAGCAGAAGCTGATAAACTCAAAATACTGATAACTCCACATAGTTTTGCGGGAATGCTGCTCTCTACTGTACCGTCTTCATTACGTCTCATAAGTTTGGAAAATTTAGTGGTTGATTCTCTTACATTCCATTTTAAACTTACTACTCTGATGTGCATCGTTGAAGTGTTGGAGCAGGTTCTTTGCTTGTTGGACATTTTCACGGATAATGAAGGCATCGTCAACATACTTCAAATAAAGCTTGGTTTTATCAACTGTAGTTTTTAGGGTGGTGTTTATAAGCGTGATATGAAAATGTTTGTCACTAATGGTCAGAATGAACTTCCTATGGCCACACTAGCAACCTGCTTATATATGATGCTCTTGAATTGAAACTGAACCTCTTTTAGCTCACAAAAGTAAAAGGCGCTTCGTATCCGTTTGTGATAATGTGATAAATTCTGTGTATTAACGAGTAATGTCTGTTGCTTCAAGAAGACGTATACTCGTGAATAAACAGGTTATACATATTTATTTATTATTATTTATCTTTTAGGTTCCTAGTGGAACATAGGGCTTCAGTAGCACGCCTCCATTGCACTCTCTTATCTGCTGTCTTTTGGACCTGGCACCACGACTACCCACAAGCTTTCATTTCTTCCTCATATGATCTCCATGTCACCCTCAGCTGGGACGCCCAACTTGTCGTTTCCCTTTGGATTCCACTCGAGGGACTGGTGCGTGATGTCCCCAGTCGGCCTCCTCCGTGTATGCCCAATCCGTCTCCACTTCTGCGGTTATATCATATGATGACATAAATTTATCCGGTAAATTAATGTGTTTAATTCTATCAGAGAAATCAAAAAAAACCCTTTTAAGAAAAAATTGATAATATTTCACGAGTCTTTTTCAACTTTTTTTGCTAACAAGTGCGAAAGCTAAATCCGTCTTATGTATTTTCGTTGTGAGATCCCCCGACTGAGTTCTTCGTAAGCTTTATTATCAATCAGTTTTCTTTTGATTGGTTCCCTGAGCTCTATAGTAATTCTCTTTTCGATCGCTTACTTCATATTTTTACTGAGATCGTCGGTTTTGAACCGTGAAAAACCATCTAGTGATAAATTCGCCTTATTGATATACCCCCTCTATACTTATTACAGCTGCACCGGAGCCGTTGTCAAATTACGACTGGACTGCCGTTCTTCAAGTTTTTTAAAGCCAAACAACGTTTTTCTATGAGACGTTTGGACCGAAGTAACGCGTATTTGCGATACTGATTAGCAATATTGATGAGGTGTGAACCACATCTTTTCTTTGCCAATAGGCTGTAGATCAGTTGATTCACTACAGAAATTCTAAAAATGAGTTTCAATATCCACTGTGTTAAAACCCTTTCCGGAGATATTAAATCGAAAACCAAGAAAAAGTGGTTTCATGAGTTGGTTTAACTAGCTACTCGATATGTTATGAGTGTACTTTTCCACGCAGTTAGCTCTGATAAAAATGAAGCGACAACAAGAGTAAAAAAACTCAAGATTAACCCAAACCTTGTGAAATTACTATGAGTTCAAAAGTTCATATCATCCATTTTTATGAATACGTTGACTCTTCTGTGATTTTTATATTAACAGCAAGTAAATCACCTTTACAGCCGTAAAGGTGTGCAACATTCCAAGGAGCAAATTAAAAAGATAAAAAGTACTTCACAATAATCGAATAACTTAGAACATGTTATAAGGAAACGGTTGCAAGAAACCTTCATATCACGTTAGCAGCCAGAGTAAATGAAATTAGAAACGAAATTTGTATGAAAATTAACGTGGAGTGGTGATTGTCGTTCAAAGTAAAACCTAGGATTCATCCAAGTCTCTAATCCTGCCACAACATAGGTTTTCGCTCCTAGTTCAATCACTGCCTAATCTTACAAAATCCAGTCTCCTAAGCCAAGATTATTTCAGACAGTTTCATGAGAAATAACTGAAACCAAACAATCAATTGAAAATCCAGTTGTAAAATGGTTATTTTCGAAACTGTGGCGTAATAAGGCGTAAGCATAAATTCTACTTTATCGTTACACAAAGGTTCATGTAGTCTACACTGTCGTCAATATCTAATAAATTATACCATACATGTGTACAAGGATATACACCACAGTGAGTATCTCACACAATATTATTTAAGTGGTTTAAAAGGAGTGGGAATACATTACCTTAGTCCTCTAAGAGTTATCTGTCATTAGAAACTACTGAAAGAGAAGAAATACACAACCTTATTTTCAAACTGATATCCTAGCAGAACGAGTTACACTTGTCAAATGTGAAGAATCACCTCAAAGTAATTTTTTCATTCATGAAATTCTGTGTAGTAATGTGGAGTTATATATATATATATATATATATATATATATATATATATATATATATATATATATAAGAGAGAGAGAGAGAGAGAGAGAGAGAGAGAGAGACGGAGGCTGTTTGTCGTGGAAAGATGGAGCTGGTATTTACAGAAAAATATTAGGTCATCTTAGGATGGACAGCATTGTGTGTTAGCTACGTTAATTGCAATCCCTTGCTCTTCTAACGGTGAATACTAACTTAGTTTATTGATTCATTATTAGTAGAATATCTGTCCGTATCACAGTCTGACCAATCTACAACTGACTGATTTTGAATAGCTTTTTTTACCGAGTCAATGAATGTTACTCGTTTATGATATATTTACATTTAACTAATGGATACATTATTCCATATACGTAACAATAAAACTAAAAATAAGCTTGACTCCAATGTAAAAATACCTTCAAGAGTAACTTAGTGGGTAGTTTCCAAGCAAAAAGAGTTGCTTTTTAAAGATAAAATGGAATAAATTCCGAAAAATTATTTTTGTTTTCACAAATTATTGATTTAAGTACCGTATACACTGAGAAATGCGCCTACTACCAACACAAGTCAGCCACAATGAATAGATTTAACCATATGGTGTGCCTAGTAGTTGATCAAGTGTGTTAATTACGGTGAAGGTCATGAAAGCACTGCAATGCTTCCAGTTGGGAATCATACTTTAAAGTCCATGAACTTTAAATATAATGAATTTAAGTGAAATTTTATTCGTTTATCAGCTATTTGGTGGCATTCGAGTATACAGTATAGACCCAGTGGTTCAATAGTAACTTGCTGATCATGGGACCTGAAAGTTCTGGGTTAAATCTCTGTCGGGGTCACGGGTGCGCAGGCTGAGTCCCGTACTAGATCGAAACAGCTTTCCAGTGCCTCCAGGTTTCCAATGGTTCTTCAACTGATGTCAGTACGTGATGAATGTCACCCTGAAATCAATGTAGACATCCTTGAAAACATAAAAAAGCCAGATCGTAGGAAAACTATCCATACGATGACACTAAACTACTTTTGTATCGACCATGTGGCTACGCCTAAAGGACATTCATCGTGCTTTGATTTCATCACCTGAATGGTGGAATAACTTCTGAATGATAGATGTAGGTAGAACAAGTGCTGTAAAATGCATCAATCCATCAATCACATTTCAATTCTATGTGCAAGGCAATGAATGGACTATACCTAATGCGTAAGGGTTGATGATACTAACCGGCTGCTCAGAACTTTATCAGAGGAATGAAACTCGAACTCATGACTTGCTGATTGAAAAATGACTGCCTAACTGAATGGATTCTAAAGCATTTGTGTGACTCATTCAGTTGCAAAATGCGTGGAACTCACATTGGTTAGCTGCAAACAATAACCACTGTTCCTGATTACACCATTGGATTCCTAATGCAACCAAATAGTAGGTCCAGAAAAAGATAAGAAGTTTTTTGTGGAGCTCCACAAGATTACAATGGGAGGCAAGAACATGACAACTAGGATCACTGACAACCAGTTTTTGATTCGAATTTCCCTAGAACATAATGATAACTAAACCGCTTTATCATCTTAAGGTGAAACACCACAGATACTGATGATTAAGTGCATTTAGAGGTAACGGTAATAAATAAAAGTAAGAATGGTGATTATGTCACAGAATCAGGACATATATGACCACAACTTACATGGGAAGCATTTGCAGCCATGGCGACCGCTGCATTGGCCAGTGTGTTGAGACTACTAAAGGTTTCAGGTATAGTTGTAGTTGTGATTAAACCTGTCGTCGTATTTGGCAAGCAACCAGTAGTCACAACTAATCTGCTTAAATCAGCAACTGGTACACAAGAATCCAACGAATATGTTTGTCCATGTGATGGAGGTGTGATAAGAAGTGCTGATGAGGGAAGAACAATCCTTCCTGGGACAGGATTTCCTGTGTTTTTGGAAATGTTTAGGACATGAGGCATTGCCATTACTGGAGTAATAGGAGCTTTAGTCATACCAAGTGACATAACGATCGGATGAGCTTGACTAACAACGGGTTGTGATGGAATAATAGCAGGAGAGCGACTGATAAGAGACATTGAAGAATTTGGTTTATCTGTTGTGATATGTTCTGGAGTTTGTAACCGCTTTAAGGTTTGTTGTAGGCTCTCAATACTGGATGGTGTCAGTTTCTGTAATAACTGTAGCCAATCATCTTCATTTAACTGGATGGACGCCGAATTAATTGCCGAATCCGAGTTTTCGTTCACTTCTGTCATCGTATAATCCTCAAATTGAGTAAAATATTACACAAACTGACATTCCGTTTTTTCACAGCAATTCGCCATTAGACTGCTGTTATAAACTGGCATTCCACAGTATCATGAGCCAGTGAAAAGCGACGGCAATGCAGTACTGAATAATTTATCAAGGCCGAACTGACTGTTTCAGTGGCCGACTTTCATTCAGGTTGGTATTTCCAACTAATGACTATAAGATTTTTCCACCAATAGCAACGAAGTATTACTTGACCAATAGGAGAACTACATGGTAAATCGATCACATGCGCACACATCACGCGTCATGCTACAAGCTGACTAGCTAACATAGACTTACGTAATGGACGCGTCATTGCTGTGTCTATCATACTATCAGTAGGCTAAGTCAAAAGCCGATTTGCTAGATTTCTATTGGTTTGTTTATTTCATGTCCAAATTGACCACTTATATAAAGGTAAAGTGTTTTGGTCACTTGGCTTGGTAGCTACGCTGGATCATTGTAGGTGTGTTTATGTACATAATGGGCGTAGTTGTGGTGGAATTTGACAACAAAACAGACCTAAATATGTAGGACAACCACTGATGCCTAGGTGATAGCTGTTTACGTGATTTGGTATTGTTTTTTAGAGATAGGTAGGGTTTATATATATATATATATATATATATATATATATATATATATATATATATATATATATATATATATATATATATATATATATATATATATATATATATATAACATATAACAAATGTTTGTACCCTGTTATTATTTCCACCCTTCCAACTTATATTTACTGAAACGGATAGGTTTTTTTTAAAATTCTTCTTACAAATTGAATGATACTTACCAGCTTGGTTTGGATTTAGGGTTACTGTCCCGTTAGGGTGTTTTTCTTTTGCGAATTTGAATATACGATCATATCGAAAAGGGCCTCACATATTTTTAAAATGTTTCCAAACTGCCACTTTTCAAGCTAAGAACAAAACAAAGGAAAAACCTTACGCTGGGTGCAAATGGAAATATAATTACTCAAAGAATACATCACATTACTATTCCTATGACACGTATACGGGATTGCAGATTTTTGTACAGGTTGGTTGAAATGTAGTGGGTGTCACTGCCTCTAGATGTGATGAAGATTCCGTGGCCTGCAGTGTTCGAGGATGGAGACATCAAGGTCTTCCTCAGGGACTTCGAGTCAATCGCTGTGGTCTAGCTATTAGGATTCCTTGTACAGAGGCACGATGAGTTAATAATATTAACGGCAGTTCCATCTCCCAATTTCCTCCTTTCGAAGCTAGCCACTCCTTAAGTGTACGGTTATTCCGTTCTGTCAAACCGTTAGTCTGCGGGTGGTACGGTGTCGTTCTTATCCTCTTGATGTCAAGCTGCTCCAAACAGGATTTGAATTCTTCACTTTCAAAACAAGGGTCTTGGTCGGTCACTATCGTTTCGGCACATCGTGATCCGCGACAATATACCGCATCATCGCTGTGGTATGCCGGCCGTGTACTAACGCCTGCAGAACAGAAATATTCCACAGTTGAAAAGGAATGTCTGGCAATAGTTTGAGCACTTGAGAAAGGGAGATCGTACCTCCTCAGTCAACGATTCCATATTGAAACTGACCACAAACCTCTACAGTGGCTTAAGACAGAGAGAGACCCCAGAGGAAAAATTATCACGTTGAGTGTTACGACCGCAAGAGTATGACTTCACGATCGGCCATATGCCAGGGAAAGAAAACTGGATGACAGACTTCCTATCAAGATCGGACGAAGAAAATGAACTACCGGAGATCGCATATGGTGTACATGCAGTGGAACGAGATCCATTAAGACCTGACACTTAAAGAAGTGATAAAAGCCATAACTGAAGGAACGGAGACACAAACGTCTGTGGGAAATAAAGAGTTGAGAAAGTCGTTGAAGAAGAAAGAACGCTTATTAATGAATACTTACGGAGTGCTGACGTGATGAGAAAACGACAGAAGCTGGTTGGCAGGGATTCCGAAATGTCTACGCGACGAAATTATGCAAGAATGCCACCAGTTAGCTCACACAAGTGTCTCACTGACACTCGACCTTTTCAGGCAAAGTGCATACTGGCCAGGTATGAAAGAAGATGTTGCCAAATACATTCTCGGCTGTCTACATAGTCAGTTGATG